ATCTATTTCTGAGTTTCTTTGGGAAATGGCATTACTGTCCTGCCCAATAGCTTAATAACTACATGTGGCTTCTTCAACTGTAAATTAATTAAAGTTTTTGAGTAAAACTGAAAATTCAGTTCTTCACCATACTAAGTATACTTCAATAGCATCATGAAACTAATGGCTGCCATACTGGAGAGTGAAAACAGGAGTTTTCCATCTTGGGGAGTTTTTTGGACAATGCTAATCCTGGACAGTAGAAAAGAGTGCTGCTGAGTCAGCATTGAGGCTAGTAGTGTGTGGAGTTGGGACTCAGATGAAACAAATGGACAGTTCAGCTAGTTTTCTTAGGGTTGTGATATAGTTTGCTGGGTCATCTAGCTCTTTTTTAAAAAAATTCTTTTTAGTACACACTGAAATTCTGTTCCCTCCTGGGATTCCCTGGTTATTCACAAAATTCAGAGGCAAGGAAATAACAAAAACAATCTCACTGAGTCCTAATGTCCCTGGATTTCTGTTGCCCGTGTCTTCATCACAGCTAAGCAATGGCCTAAACTTGCTGAACAAACCGATGCTTGTTAAAAAACCAAGATTGGGGTCAGTGGCATACGCCTATAATACTAGCTACTCAGAAGACTGAGATCTGAAGATCATGATTCAAAGCCAGCCCAGGCAGGAAAGCCTGTGAGCTCTTATCTCCAGCTAACTACTGCCCTCCTGCATCCCCCCCACCCCCAAAAAAAGAGCCAGAACTGGGAAGTGGAGTGGTACAGCACTGGCCTTGAGCAAAAAAAGCTCAGGGAGTGCTCAGGCCCTGAGTTTTTTGTGACCAGCACACACACATACACACACACATGCACGCACAGGCACGCATGCATACACGCATGCACACCCCCCCCCCCCAAAATCCAACCAACAACCACCTTTTCCACAGATCTTCCTTCCTTCCTTGCTTCCTTCCTTGCTTCCTTCCTTGCTTCCTTCCTTGCTTCCTTCCTTCCTTCCTTCCTTCCTTCCTTCCTTCCTTCCTTCCTTCCTTCCTTCCTTCCTTCCTTCCTTTCCTCCCCTCCCCCATGTCTGTCTGTCTGTCTCTGTCTCTGTCTCTGTTTCTGTCTCTGTCTCTCTATCTCTCTATCTCTTGCTTGCTTGTTTGCTTGCTTTTGCTGGGCCTGGGCCTGGCCTGGACTCTGGGCCTGGACACTGTCCCTAAGCTCCTTTTGGTTCAAGGCTGGCACTTGATCACTTGATCTACAGTATCACATCCATCTTTTTCTGAGATTAATTGGAGATATGAGTCTCATAGACTTTCTGCCTGGGCTGGCTTCTAAGCATGATCTTCAAATCTGAACCTTCTGAGTAGCTAGGACTACAAGCATGAGCCACTGGGCATCTGGCCACAGATGTACAGAGGGGTTACAGTTACATAAGTAAGGTAATAAGTACATTTCTTGTCAAACTTGTTACCCCTTTCCTCAGGGGTCACACCTGTATCTGAAATAATATGCATAGAGAAAAAGCAATATGGTCACTCATGAGTTACTTCTAAACATAGAATATTGACTCTATGATTTGATAGTTGTTGTAGGTATGAATGAAGCAAGTCAATTCTGATTGATTTGCTTAGCAGAAACCTGAGCTCTTGTCCAATTTAAAAAGTGAAATGTGGAAGTATCTTCCATTTGTGTAGCTTCCATTTATGTAGCTTATGGTTTGCAAAATATGTTCTTAGGCATTGTTCTGATACTCAGAAGCCTGTGGACTGGGGCAAAAACATTTGCAAAAGAGGAAAACTTAGGCTCAGAGAGGTAAAGTGCTTTGTCCTAGCTAGTTGGTGTTGGAACTGAGTTTTGAATACCAGTCTAGTGCTTTCCTGAGAACATTGTTTACTTCTCACTTCTATCTTAGACTCATAAAATAAAACATGTTTAAGTTAGGCTTGTCATCAGTGGCTCACATCTGTAATCCTAGCTATTCAGGAGACTGAGATCTGAGGATTGCAGTTCAAAGCCAGCCCAGGCAGGAATGTCTGTGAGACTATTTCCAATTAACCAGCAAAAAGCCAGAAGTAGAGCTGTGGTTCAAGTGGTAGAGTGCTAGCCTTGAGCAAAGACACTGAAGGACAGTTTCCCAGCTCTGAGTTCAAGGCTCAGAACTGGCACACACACAAAAATGTCTAAGTTGTGTTTAAGTTGAATAATTGGAGACAATAATACAAAGTTGGCTTAGTAGATAATGTTTATTGAGTGCCTATAATCTGCAGATTGGAGAAGGGGCTGCTACAGTTGGGTGGTGTGAGTACTGTCCTCATGCATGTGGAATAAATGGCAGCGTCCTTTATGAAAGCACTTCTGAAGAGGGCAGTTGTGTATCAGATTTTGAAGAATACGATTGAGGGGAGAGGACTAAAGGAAAGACTTTGGGCCAAGTGCAGAGGCATGGTGATGAGAAAAGAGAGAGAGTTGTAGAGAAAGTCCAGTTAGTACAAAATTGGAAACAGAAAAGAGGACTTGTTTATGGTTTGTTGCCAATCTACTCTATGTAAGTTATGGCATAGACCTGGGAGTATGTTGGTGAGCAAAGATGATAGTGGTTTTTGTTTCTGTTGCTCATTCAGCAACAGAAGGAAGGAGAAATTATGTATTGGCTGCTGCTAATAGAATACTTCCACAAAATTTCAGATTGTGAATTACTCTAAAGGGAAAGTACATGATCCTATGAGTGTGTGTATAGTACAGTGATGTAAATTAGAGTGACTTTTGGGCTGGTAGTTGAAGCTGCAGGAGTTAAGGTGGCAAAACAGTTTTGGTCTCGGGAGCAGAACAAAAGAATGCTCAGAAAAAAATGGTGGGACATATACAAAGGCCCTGGGAGGTATTAAAATAATTAATAAAAAAGCCCGTGTGAAAAAATTATATTAAGTGAAGTAAGCCAGGCCCAAATTAAAATAGGTCCCATGGTTTCCCTTATTTGCAATAACTAGTATATGCCTAAGACAAGCAGAAAAGGTCAAGAGCTATGTACATGTGACCATATAAGCAAAATGAACACAAGATAGGAACACAAGTGGTTTTTTTTTTCTTTCTTGCTATTGTTTTTAATGTACTTATAATGTACTATGTGATTTTTTAGTTTCTTTTGTATGCTCTTTCCCCACGGTATAATCCCCATTTTTGCTGTATTTGATTCCAGTGCCCCACATCTTGTATATACATTTTTATAATTTGAGGAGGGGAAGGGAAATAACAAAATGCTTAAATAAGGATATGGATTGACCCATTGTAACAATGAGATGTACAAGACACTTATGTTGAAAATGAACTTCACAATTTTGGGAATGGGGAAGGAGGAGATGGGGAGGTGGGGAGGGAAGAGATGGTAGGGGAAAAACAAAGGAAGAGGTACCAATGCTATAGGAAATATACTCATTTCCCTACTCATGTAACTGTAACCCTTCTGTACAGTATTTTTACAATAAAAAATACATATGACATAAAAGGCCCGTGTGTAGGAATTGTAAGAGTAAAAGGGTAGTTTGAGATGAGACTGGGAAAGGAACACATACTTGATCAGACTTTATTCTTATTCTAAGAGCTGTGGGCAGCTTCTGGTGTATTTAAAGCAAAGAGTGCATACTTACAACATTCTAAATAGAGGACTGTGGCTGCAATGCAGAGGATATTTTGATAGGGAATAATATAGGTTTTTCAGTAAAAACCTTATACTTTATGGTTCAGGCAGAAATAATGAACTTGGGTACAGGCTGATGCCAACAGGGATCAAGGAAAGTGGATAATTTCCATAGAGAGTTAGGAGTTCAAATCTATTGGACTTAGTGATGTGTTGGGTAATGAAGTCTCAGATGATAAATATGGTCCCCAGTCCTAGATGCACTAGCAAAATGATAATTCTCTTCAAGAGAGCAACCAGTCCAGGAGCTATTAGTATTTTTTTTTTTTTTGGTCGGCCGTGGGGCTTGAACTCTGGGCCTGGGCGCTGTCCTTCAGCTCTTCAGCTCAAGGCGAGCGCTCTACCACTTGAGCTACAGCGCCACTTCCGGTTTTCTGGTGGTTTATTGGAGATAGGAGTCTCACGGTCTCTCCTGCCCGGGCTGGCTTTGAACCGAGATCCTCAGATCTCAGCCTCCTGAGTAGCTAGGATTACAGGCGTGAGCCACCAGCGCCCGGCTGCTATTAGTATTTTTTTAGTTTATCTTTAGACTCATTTGACTCCTACCCTAAAATCTTGTTATGTAGTGGGCCAGGCACCTTGTAATGCAGTTCTAAGAAGTGGTCAGCCCATCAGTTCTGTAGTTGCTATGTCTGTGAATTCCACCAACCACAAGTTTAAAAATACAATGTTCTGTGGAGGTAAAGGAGAACTGATTTTGTTCAAAGCATGTAAAGACGCTTTCTTGCCATCATTCCCTATATAATTGAACAGTTCACTTTGTATTAGGTATTAAAAATAATCTGGAGATGAATTAGAGTAATCAGGAAGATGTGTGTACATTATATACAGACTCTTGCCTATTTATATATGAGCATCTGTGGATTTTGGTATCTGCAAGTGGTCCTGGAACCAATCTCTCATAAATACCAAAGGATGGCTGCATACTTATTTAGTCCTGTGACAGGTTACTCTGTGTGTGTGTGTGTGTGTGTGTGCGCGCGCGTGCACACGCGTGCATGTGTGTATGTGCGTGTGCACATGGGTGCATGTGCACGCACACACATGCGTACATTTTGCCTGGAACAATAACTTCCTTTCCTTGCCCGTATGTCAGTACACTTTGGCTGCCTCTACAGCCTGTTGGAGTCTGAGTTCATTTAATCCCACAAAGTACTAAACAACGTCTGGTCTTTGTGGGGCTGTAATTCTACTCCATGGCTTCTACTTTCATTTGCCAACTCGGATGTCTTCATGAGCTAACAGCGCACAGTTGAGTGTTTGAAGCGCTTACAATTGGAATATTTCATGTCAGGCCTGCTGCCATTCTCTCTCTGCTATTCTCTTTTCAGGATGGCTGGGGCACCTCCAAGTTACTCTTTCGTGGCTTTCCCGCCACGTACTAAGGATGGCCTGGTGGTGTTTGGGAAGAATTCAGCTCGTCCCAGAGATGAAGTGCAGGAGATTGTGTATTTCCCAGGTGCTGATTATGAGCCTGAAAGCAAGGTGGAGGTGAGTCACGCGAGTACGTGGAAAATTCTAGTTTTAGTATGTTCCTTGTTTTATAATTTAGTAAAGTACTTTCATAGTTCCAAAGTTAAATGTATAAAACAGATAGGCTCATAGGAATCTACCTTCTATCCTTGTTTCTTTCAATGTATTTTCTCCAAAAGAAGAACATGTTTGGAAATTCTTTGTTTAAAAATTTACATGCGTTTTAATGAATTACACGCACATGTGCTGCTTTTCTCCAAAAAATTATCAATACTGTATGTGTCATCTATGTCTATATAATTTTCTCCACATCGGAGCTGGGAAGATGGCTCAGTGGTAGAGCGCTTGCCTTGCATGCCTGAGGCCCTGGGTTCGATTCCTCAGCACCACATAAGAAAAATGAAAAAAGCCGGAAGTGGTGCTGTGGCTCAAGTGGTAGAGCTCTAGCCTTGAGTTGAAGAGCTGAGGGACAGCGCCCAGGCCCAGAGTTCAGGCCCCACAACGGACCCCCCCTCCCAAAAAAAAGAAATGTACTCATAATTTTCTCCACATCGTTTTTATTTACATTATATTATATGTTATATTTATTAAACTTGTATGTTAGAGATCAAAATATACAGTATGTATTGTAGACACTGAATATGCTTCATTGCATTGTATTTCACTCTATAAATGTATCATTGCTTAACTAACCCTATCTGCTGCTGGATATTTTCCTCAGCCTTTTGCTGGGGAAATATGAAGGTGAAATGTGAATAATGTTGAAGTAAATAGTAGCCTTGCACATTTATCACAATGTCCATTTGGTCTTATTTGTTATCATGTTAAAAACTATCCATGAAGCTGGGAGCTGGTGGCTCATGCCTGTAGTCCTAGCTACTCAGGAGGCTGAGAACTGAGGATTGCAGTTCAAAGACAGCCTGGGCAGAAAAGTCTGTGAGACTCTTATTTCCAATAAACCACTCAGGAAAAGCTGGAAGTGGCTCTGTGGCTCAAGTGATAGAGCACTAGCCTTAAGCACACAGAGGTTCAAGGACACTGCCCAGGCCCTGAGTTCAAGCCTCAGGATTGGCAAAAACAAAACAAAACAAAACTATCCATGAACTCCTGTTTATGTTTTATTTTTAGTTTTTAATTGTTATTATACAGATAATGTACAGAGAAGTAACAGATATGTAAATCAAGAGTACATTTCTTTAATGTTACTCCTTCCCTTGCTCTCTCCCAGTCCTGTCTTGAGTGATTTAAAGACATCATTTTTGTCAGTGTTTCTTGATGATGGCTGAGTCACAATGTAATTAAATAGATAATTTTACTTAGTGTTTTCAAATTTCCTCCAATGGGTATTTTACTATCTTGTGTTCTCGCCCACAGTGTTTGACAATACCTATTTCTCCATATTTCTAGAGTGTGTTGTCAGACTTTCTGTAACTATATTATGCTAGTTTTATCTTCTACTATTTTAACCAGATTGTTTTATTGGTTGTATAGCTTTTTTGATGTTTTCCACAAATATATATATATATATATATATATATATATATATATATTTTTTTTTTTAATTTTGTTTTTCCATCTCTAATTATTTTTATGCCTGATTTTTCTGGCCTGTACCTTGGTTAAAGTATAGGTAGTGAATCTTTGCCTTTGTGTCTAAACTGAATATGGTTCCCATTAGTGCCTCTACATTAAACAAGTTGCTAGCTCTGGGACTGAGTTTTATTTAGTTTTATCAAATTAAGAGCTCTAAATGAACTATTTTGAGTGTTTTTTTTAAAACAACACTATTCAGAAATAGGTATTATATTTTGTTGGAAGTTTTTTCCCATTGATAATGGAGTTAATCATTCAACTTTTTTCTCTGGCAAATTGAGACATGTTTGCATTCATGTAATTTTGTGATATCTTTTGCTGTTGACGTCTAGTTTTATTCCAGTATGATATGACACAATACATTGAGTTATTTCAGTTTTCTTATATTTTCTAAGACTTGTTCTATGTCCTAGAATATGTTCTATTTTGGAGAAATTTCCATGGGCTGCTGAGAAGGATGTGTATTGTGCAGCTACTAGAAGAGATTCTCTGTAGCTGTCTGTCTGTGAAGTGTGGTCTATGGCATCATGTAATTCAGAGGTTCCTATGTTGATTTTGTTTTGGATAACCTATATCTTGGTGAGAATGGATTATTAGAGCCTCTCACTATTATTGTGGTTGGTTCTATCAGTGCTGGTAAGTCTAGAAATGTTTGTTTAATAAACCTACATATGCTCCCATTTGGTGTATATATATTGACAACTAAAGTTTTCTTCATAGATCATTCTTTGTCTCTTTTGATTGCTTTTTAGTTTGCGGTTTATTTTGAGAGATATAACTATGGATACTCCTGCTTGTTTTCAGGGTCCATTTGCTTGGAAAATCCTTGCCTATCCTTTAACACTAAAGCATTCATTTTTCTTTGTCACTGAGATGTGTTTCGTGTAGGCAACACACGGGAGTCTTTTTATTCCAAGTTACCATTCTATGTCTTTTGAATGATGTGTTGAAACATTAATATTGTGTTTTCCCATTTTCTATTTATGTATATAATCTCTTCTATTTTATTTCTGTTATGTTTTCAGAAACGTAAAGAAAATTAGAGCAAGTGCCCATAACCTTCTCACTTTTCCTTCTAAGCTCTCCTTTATCAATATCTTGCATTAATTTGGTAGACTTGCCATAGATTGATAAATCAATATGGATGCAGTATTAACTAAAATCTTTCATTTATTCTCTTTGTATGAGATTTTACACCGATATAGTGAGATGTACCCACAATTATAGAGGAGACTTTTACTACTCTTAAAGTTCTCTCTACCCCTCACATAGTCATCCTTTTCTCCATCTCCATAGTTTTGACATTTTAGAAAATGTGTAATTGGAATTATATGGCAGATGGCCTTTTCAGATTAGTGGCACCTTTCACTTGTAATTTCTTCCATGTCTTTTCCAAGATTGATAACCTATCCTTTATTACTCACAATAGCTCAGTGTGTGAATGTACTGCATTCACCTATTGAAGGACATCTTGATTGCATGCAAGCTTTGATAATTATGAATACAGCTGCTGTAAGCATTTGTACCATTGCCCTGTCTCGTTCTCCTCCTTTCTTGTTTTTTAATGATGGAGTTGTGTTTAGAGACTATGATTCTCATTGTCTTTCGGCACATGCTTCTGAGTCTGCTCTTTTTTTTTTTTTTCTCTCAGTGATGATAATTGCATTTAATTATTTATTTAGGTGTGTAAGGTCTTGCGCTAAGTTTTTACAAGCTGGTGAACCCTGAGAAATTGTTTCTCCCACAGAACTATAACCACACATTCCCAGCTGGTATAAATATATGGTTGAACTAACAGTAATACACATCATTATTTTATCAATTACATAATAGGACAAATTAGCGAGTATCCAAATATTAAGTTACACAACTCAAAAGGCTTATAAAATATTAGATATCTGCTCAATTTCATTAGCAGAAACCCATTTATTTATTTATTTTTTTGCAAGAGAGGCTGGGAAGAGAAAGGGGGAAACAATAAGGTGGTAAAATCTTCTAAGTGGAGAAAATACAGTATCAGAAATTTTATGATTAAGAATTTTAGCTAAAACAAAGGATCTATACTTTAAAAATATTTACTAAATTAAAGCACATACTCTACATGTTCTGCACAAGACAAAGGCAACATTGTACTAAAAATAATCAATAGCTCCCTCCCATATTTTCAGGCTCTTCCTGTGAATCTGCACCTCAGAGTGCCAACATTAAATTAACTGTAAGGCTTTTCTGTCTGGAAACATTAGTAAAGACATGTGCTTCTGTAACAATGAAGACTTTCAAAATGGAGGTTTCTCGTAATAGCATAAAGACATATAGAAAGACATTAAATAATCACCTTAAGACTTGGTAGAAAAAAATATCAATGGTTACACAAACCTGATGTATGAATGTGGAAGATGTAAACATAAAATGAACAGGCAAATAGCCAGTTTAAAATGTTTGACATGACTGAAGGAATAAACCATATAGGTCTTGAGTTTCTGGAATTTCGGTTCTAAATGGTATTAAAAATATACAAGTATTGTGCTGGATATTTTGGCACCTAATGTTTCTAAATTTTTTATATATTGATAAAGATTCTGGCATGGGAATATATATATGTATATATAGGCACATATATATGCACGTATATATGCACATATATATATTTTTTTTTTGGGGGGGGGGGGGTTGGTTTCCTTGAACTCTGTGCCTGGGTGCTGTCCCTTAGCTCTTCAGCTCAAGGCTAGTGCTCTACTACTTGAGCCACAATGCCACTTCCGGTTTTCTAGTGGTTAATTGGAGATAAGAGTCTTATGGACTTTCTTGCCTGGGCTGGCTTTGAACTGCAATCCTCAGATCTCAGCTTCCTGAGTAGCTAGGATTACAGCCATTGGCACCTGTCAGCATGGTTACTTAAAAATGTAACTCAATGATTTTAGGAAAGGCCAATTAATATAAGTGATGAGCACATTTTAAATGCTCAACAGCAAGAATTTTGTCTTTTCTTTTTGCTAAGTGTCCAAATAGGTCAAGCAAAACCCAAACAACAATAATGTCAAGCTCACAGCCTGAAAAACTGCTTTTCAATATTCCTATGGAAGTTTTACTAGACTCATTCATCAAACCAATATTGTTATGGCAAATTAGGTTCCACTACTGAAGCAATGGCACCAGACACCCAGTTTTATTGAATGCAACAGTTGTTTCTGTGAACATTGGCATATTTAAAGCTTAGCCACATTTTAGGTTGGTACTTTTCCAAATACAGAAGCTGCTTGCTGTTAAAGGCTCCACACCGCTTTTGTCTTATGAACTGTACTGCATTTTCATATTTCATTCCACCTTCAATTAGTGCCGGGGCAACAAGCACTGGAGCTCTCCCAAGGCCTGCAACACAATGCACAGCAATACAGCAACCAGGTTCTTCATAAATTTTTATTTTT